TATGTGTGTGAGTATGTGTGTGTGCATGCCTTCGAGGCCGTTTTGGCAACTGACTCGGCAAGCCCTGCAGTTTTTTTGGCAAGGGTTTTCAGAAGTGGTTGGCCATTGCCTCCTTCCCAGGGCTGAGAGAGAGGGACTGGCCCAAGGTCACCCAGCTGGCTTTGGGCCTAAGGCAGGACTAGAACTCATGGTCTCCCAGTTTCTAACCTGATGCCTTAACCGCTATACCTAACTGGCTCTTTTTTTGTCTCATTGTTTGCTCAGAAGTTATTTATTTAGTTTTTCCAATGAAATAACTTTAGGGCTGTGTGTAGTGATAGACAAGGAGGCACAATCTCAAATGTCATTTTCTCTTTTGATAAACACAGAAACTAAGGCAATGAATTATGGAGACAAACAGAAAAAGCAAGATATTGCAGATTTAAATGAATATTTTTCACAGGGATTTCCTGCTGACTTACAACTTTCTGTTTTGGCTGCACTAAAGATCCATAACAAATATACACTACACCCTGAATAATTTAAATCAGCACTTATAACTACAACCTGATCTTTTTTGTATTTGGGAGTTCTTGCAATGGGCACCTGCAGATAACCCTGATGATAAAAAAAAATGACACCCAGTGGTGTCAAAACACAGCTCCATGTTTGTTCTCACGCACTGAGGTTGGATGCAAGTTCAGAAGTCATGGGGTTTGCATTGTGATGTCACAACACATATTTTGCTACTTGCCCTCTCTTGCCTGCCCCTGCAAACTCCTATAGAATGTCTATTGTTGTTATGACACTTTCAGGGAAATAGGTTGTCAGTGTTACTTTAGGGCAGGCCTTAGCCACATAGCACTTGGTGCTCCTTAAAATGGCACCCAATTAAAAAAAAAAAGATCTATAATGTCTGAAATTGCGTGAGACCACCAAATTGTGAGATTTTTGAGCATGCTTGCACAAAATCTCACGAAGATCTGAAGACATGATCAAACCCATTTTAGTGCAGGAATACGTTTTCCAAGGAGGGCTGAAAGCCTTGATGAGCAAACTGCTGAAGAATTCTATTCTTCTTGTCTATGACACCTCAGCCATAATTGCTGGAAAGATCAGTGTTGGAGCTATCAAATCTGGGCTTCAAACCTCCAGATGACCATGAAGTGGCATGAAGCAAACAGTTTCTCTTTTTTCTCTTCCATCTAGTGATCCTCAGTTCTTCAGCCCAGTTCTGATCATTCTAGTCAGTTTGACTACTGTGCCTTGAAGAAACTGCTGGATTAAATTGGGTCCATTAAAATTATACTCCTCTCTAGAAAGATTTTATCCTTCATGTTTCTAGACAGAATATCTAGGACTGACCTGCATGTCTTCTTGGACTTTCCAGGCTAGTTTGGTAGGGCTGCTGTATTGTTTAACTCTGTGTCCATCTTCTCATCATTCCCAGGTGAGAAGCCCCACAAGTGCCAGGTGTGTGGCAAAGCTTTCAGCCAGAGTTCAAACCTGATCACTCATAGTCGGAAGCACACTGGCTTCAAGCCTTTTGGCTGTGACCTGTGCGGCAAAGGCTTTCAGAGAAAGGTGGATTTGCGGAGACACCGAGAGACACAGCATGGTCTGAAATGAGAACGTGGTGGAATCTGGAATAACAACAAAAACACTATGTCAACGAACTTCCCTTTTCTCCTTGTGGGCTGCCCGTGTCCTGCCTCTGTCTCTCTGGTCTGATCCTTTGGTTCACTTCCTGTCATATTCTCACTAAACAGGAAGTCAGAGGAAGTTGGTCAGAGTTTTGCAGAATTTAACTCAAAGGCCTTGGAATGAAAGTGAAACGCCAAGCCTAAAGAGGGTGGGGTGAAGCACCTCTTTCTTTAGAATTAAACACTGGACCAATAACATACATTTCTGTTCCCTCCCACTCACTCACCTTGTAGCACAAAAGGCCCTATTTGGATAAGCTACTGGCGTCTATGAGCCAGAAAATTATTTTTCTCAGTGAATCCCACAGACTGCTTTGGTTTCCTGAAAGTTCATTTTCTGGGTTGCCTGAACGTCACATGGTAATCACACAAAGTGGTGTGATGAAAGAGAGCGTGATTTATGTTTCGTACCATTTAAGAGTTAAAACTTCATGTTTTCATTATTTTATTTTATTTTATTTTTATTTTTATTTTTATTTTTATTTTTATTTTTATTTTTATTTTTATTTATTTTTATTTTATTTTTATTTTATTTTTATTTTTATTTTTATTTTTATTTTATTTTATTTTATTTTTTTTTATTTTTTTGCCTGGGGATTTTAAATTGACAGTTAATGGAGCAGTTGAGAACTAAAGACTGTTTCTGGCTTGTATTTCCCTCTTTGTAAGGCAGAAAATATGTGATTGTAAAACACATGATTGGCAAGAAGGTCCTATCCAGTGCTACAGTGATGAGAGGAGATGTGAAGCCCTGTAAATGTCATCGATTCTGTAGCCACAGATGCAGTTCCATCTTTCTGCCACAACCATATAAATATTGGCTTCAAATGTGGGTAAAAAATAGATGAGACCCCATGAATTTCTCCTTGATAATCCATTATTAAAACAATACAGTGAGCCTATTAGAGTGGGTGAAGGAAGTCAAATACCTCTCAAACTTCAGTGGGAGTCAGAGGAAAAACTTTAGATGCTCTTCTAGACAACCCATCGACCAACCACATGTAAAGTGTCAGATTTTTGTACTGTCTGCCTCCTCAAAATTACGATGGAAGATCCTACTACACCACTTCCTTGGGTTGTTCCTGGCAATTTTGTATTAGATTCTTGAACACTAGCAGGGGGCTGAGGCAATGTTTTTTCTTTGGAGGAAGAGAGTTTCTCCACTACTTCAGCCTCAGTTTCATGGGTGACTGCAAGGGGGAAATTAATATTGGGTGCCTCATGATGCCATAATGTAATTACATACTGCAATTATGTAATTTGTGACATTTATGGGATGACGTCATGATGCACGTGATAACAATGTGGTCTATACTGTATGTCTTTATTAGAAACTGCATGTTCTTCCTCTCACAAACATTGCTGGTGCAGGGCCCTGGGACTAGGAACCAGCACGGATGGATTTAACTTCTTATTTCCTGCTGCAGTTCCCAAGCGAGATTAGGGATTGGGTGCCTCCAATTTACACCTGCAAAAAGATGTCTTGAAATAACAGGTCCTTTTTTGCAGTACCCATTGCAAGTGTATCTCCTCTCTTGTTCTGCATTGGGATTGTCCTGAGGTCAAAGGTTTAAAGCCCCATGACACCCTTTACAGATTAGGATACTGAATGCCTTGAATTTATGGGAAAAGAAACATGCACTCAAAGTAGATAAGGTAATGTGTCCTTTGGCCCTTGGCTAGGGGCTGATATTAAATAGGGCGCTAGACTGCAGCACTACCCCTATGCTCTGTTTCACAAGACTATCTGGGTTCAGTTTTATCTGACATTGCATCCTTGTGCCAGGCATTGACTCTACAGTAGTGACTATCAAGCTGGGAATTTGAGGCACAAGGTGTCTCAATGGTGTCCTTCAAAAGTTTGAATCAACCTAGGGAAGACTCCTAGTAATCCTGTATACACATTGTATATGCGTGCAAATAGTGTATGTTTAGCATGCATTGGGAAGGAAACTGTTCATGAGGAACTGCAAAGGAAGAATTACATATAAAGCAAGCGGGGACTTAATTCTAGATACAGTTGAGATTTGCCCTTAAATTGAAAGGGAGGAGAACAGGTAGGGACAGGGACAGATTTACCTTCTTAAATGGCATTGAAATTCTGCAGTTAGGTATCAGACAGGCAAGGATCAGCCTACCTGTCAGATCTGAATAGCTAGACAGTTTATAGCTGTCTATTCCTAATCACAATGACGCCAAAATGACAAAACTTATGTTGTGACAGCATGGTGCAAGTTCTGCCTTTCTACAGTCATGTTGTGACATTGCACACAAGAAATAAGGGCTGGAGTTTATGTCACAACATCACAATACACATACACAATTCCTCATTTGCCTCCAACCCTCCTTGCCTATATCTGGGACTGTTTGCTCTGAAGTAGTCTTGGGTCCAAAAGGAGTTGCCTTAACTAATCCTGGCCATACCTCATGAGGGAAAGGGAGGAAAGGAAAAAAAAAATCTGTTTTTACTTTATAGGTAGGAATGTAAAGTCTTTTGTGTAGATTCTACAATGTGTCTTATGTTCATCAATTCATATTTATTCAAGTAAAGCTTAAATTAATAAAGTACTGAGGATTCTCAGGCGTAGTATTTATTTCTACAAAAAGCGTTAACCTGTGTTCTGTCATTAAATGGACTTCCAGTGGGCTAACATCCATAAGAATATAGCAAGAACAGCGTATTTATAAAATTTCTAATGTTTCTTTGTATGGCAATATAATAACTGCACATGGAATATAATACATTACACATAGAATCAAAGTGTGATCTATAGTCTGTGGGTAGGGGTATAAGATTCTGAACCAAATTTGCTGACATGGACATAATGTTTATGACAGTCCTCTACAAATATTGTAAGAAAACATGCCCAATCCATATTCAAGTATTTGAACTGCTCTGTCTCTTGTATATTCAGGAGATCTCACGCATAACCCCCCTATTTCTATGCAGTATCTGCAATCCTATGCCCATTGGGGAGGAAAATAAACTATTGGGAATTCAGTAGAACTTACTTTTGAGTAGAGAGCATTGATCTGCTCCGTGGGAAACTGAACGTTTGAATGCTCTTGCTATATGACACTTAGCAACATAAGCTTAACCATCTTTCACAAAATACTGATGAAATCTTTTTCACTGACCTAGAACTCTCCTGCAGTTTGGAACTGCAACTAGCTTTTGGCTGTGGATTATGAGAGTTATAGCCCAACACATCTGAGAGTACTAGAGTGGCAATGGCTATTGAACTGCCAAGGGCATTTTTCCAATGCGTGGAAGTATTAAGTCAGGTGATCTGACAGCATTCTGCCATTGTATAGTTCCAGGAAGACTATATTGTATGACTGTTCTGAAGATATAGATTACATTTCAGTTTTTGCAACAAGTCTTGGAACTGTTTATTGAGCAAACCTATGTGCCATCATAGGTGTCCATCTATGGTGTATCTAGCCAGTGTCTGCATAGAAAAATAGAAATTGGGATCAACAGAGAGAAAGATGTATCAAAATCCTATTCACATCACTACCATATTTCTTTCTTACTCGGTTTCTGTACTTCAATTTATGTTTTAGTTTTTATCCCTGAAGATCAACATCAGGAAGTTCCTTTTGAAAACCCTTTGGGTGATGACTCAGCTTACTGTATGTCCAAAATCTATAGCAGCCTTCCCAACCTGATGTTCTTTAGATGTGTTGGAATATAATTCTTGTAACTTCCAGCCAAGCCTGGAATCATTAGGAAAGTAATCCATCATATTTGGAGGGAACCAAATTAGAGAAGCCTGGCCTACAAATTCAGCTGCCTCATCCAAGGATTTTTACGTGAACTAAACTGGTAATGGATTTGCCCAACAAAATTAGATACGCCCAAATACTGAAGCTGCAGAATGAACTTTCAAAAAAGTAAAATGAGAGGGAAATAGTTTAATAATCTAACCAGCTAAGAATCGTAACAAATTTTCCAGCCTGTTTCAGTACATTTGAAGACTGCAATAATCTTCCTTAATGTTATTGCTTAGTTGCATTAAAAATGCATTGCGTGTATTATGTGACTCATTATTCATGAAGCAGGTTCCCTACCTTTTGTCTGTCAAAGTATCTGAAGAAAAGAGTAACAGGAGATCTGGCACTTGTACACCTTTGTTTCTCTTGCTGAATTTTTAATAACACCTCCAGCTAGCCAGTTGGTGAAGCTCTGTGTCTGCAGGAGAGTGAAAGGACAGAGCTATCTCAGAAAGACTAACCTTTTGAGGTTCTCAGTTGAGCCTTGTGTTCATTCATGGCAGTAATGATTAAATTACCTATCAAGTGTGCTCAGCTATCATGATTCACAGCTCTGAAACACAAGCTGAATTTCATCTGATTGTTTTAAAATACATGAGGGTGAGGGGCTGAAATGAGAAAAGAAACAACAAGAAAACTCACCACAATTAAAAAAAAAAGTGCTCCTCTTTGCTGATGTTATTCTTAGCAGAAAAACGGCTTCATTTAATGAATCAAGATCTTTCCTCTTATTTTTTTTTTTGTTCTAAGCTTCTTCCAAGTTGTGCAGGGATGATAAGCATACTCCCCCCCCCCCATTTTACTCTTACAAAACGCTATCAGGTAATTTGTGTTAAACTAATTGGGTTAAAGTAACAAATCCAAGATCTCTGAGTGTGTTTCAGTGATTGCCTGCAGCAGAAAATTCATAGTCAGCTTTTCAGAGATTAGCATTCCTCTCAACCCAATGCCTTCCAGATGTGTTGAGAGCTAGAGTGATTGAGGTGTTAGATGGGACTGGGGAGACCCAGCTCAAATTCAGTCTGAGCCATGGAAAATTCCAGGGGAGTTTGTGCCAGTCATTCTTCATTAGTCCAACCAACATCAGAAAGTTGCTGTTGTGGGAAAAACCTGGAAGAACAAGTTCTACTGTATGTGTATCACCTCAGAATCCTGAAGAAAAGAAAATTAGATTTTCATTAGAAGAAAATCTAATGAATCAAGTAAACATGCCCCTTTATAACCAAGTGGCTTGTTGGATGGGCACAATAGGAGTTATAGTCCAGGTTATCTGTATATAAACAAAGGTTACAAATAGACAAATTAGGGACTATATTCACACAATATATTAACAGGTTAACTGAGCCCCATTTACCGAAATAGTCCAATTCCTAATATTACAGTGCACTAGGCTGTGTGGATGACTGGTTTGTGATTCGGTGCCTTTTGTCAACCTATCCTGAGACATGAAAAGAGTCCTCCTCTAGCCATTCTCTATTCTGTCTTGTTAACTGTGATCTTGTCTTTTGTGACTGGCCCCCACTCTGCTGTTGTTTAGAAGAGCTGTGACGCCCCAGCTCTCCATGCAGGCCTTTGGTGAGGGAGAGTGAAACCTCTCACTTCATCGAGCTTGCGATCTTT